CCGGGGGGGGGGGGGGGGGGGGGGGCAGTCCAAGAAGCTATGAAAGCAAAGAGGGCGTTCCCCGAAAACTAAACAGCGTTTTCTGAATTAGCTCAAGGAAGAAGTAGGAAAACTTGAGAGGATATAACGTGGGTAGGTTAAGAATGGCTTAGCACAATTTCTAGACGACAGTGGAAGAAAAACGGCGCGGCGAAGCTCGCAGCGAGGCGATTGTCGCGGTAGATTACACCATTTCCCGACGACGAGCTTGTTTCGAATTAGGGCTGCGCGATTCTGGGCTAATGGTACACGCGTAATCCAATCGCGACTTGGAAAGTCGTTCGCGACCGTGGCACGCACGCTCGCTGCCCCGTTAAAGAGGTCTCGCGACGGCCGCCATCGCTAATAGGCGCGTGCCTCGGCGCGTATTTCGCGACAACCTGTTACATACCTAGAAGTTCTCGTTTACACGATCGTACGATCGCCAATGGGGAGAAGAATCGTCTGGACGACGCGAGAGACCGAGGAAGCCTGTCGGGAAAGAGGAAAGCCTTGATCTTCGGAGTTCTCGAATTCGCGGTTGCGAATCGAGGCGATCCATCTATCGCTCGAAGGTTCTGTTACGCCCACGCGCGGACGTGAGTCCAGCTCGTGTCGAGGTCAAACGTCAGGCCTGAACCGTGCTAAACCTAGATCGCGCTGGATCGAGGGTGTTCAAGGCCTACAACTAGGCTGAGCGTCGCGTAGCCTAGACCTAGCCTGGCTTGGAACAAAGGACGCTGGCGACGTTCTTTCGAGAATCGCGAAGCCGCGAGCCACGTGGTCCGCGTGGTAAGTCTCGGAAAGCTCGTAAAGCCTCGTATAAGCTCGTAAAGTCTGCCAGCCGGGGCAATCGAACGCGTTCGTTTAGCGGCGCGGCGGCGTGCTGCGGCCGCGGATTAAGATTCACGCCGAACGGAGACCCGGCCTCGCTGATTAGCGGGCCTTTCGGCTTCGCTTCCGCCGGTGTTTGGCAACTGATAAATCTATAAATACGAGCACGTGCTCGCCGCGAGGAAGAGAGACGGCGAGAACGGGAGACGGCTGTCTTCGGTAAACAGCTGCCCAAGCTAGATTACACGCCACTTCTCTGCCAGTAAATCACCCATGGCACACATATTCGCCGTCGAGCGGCGCGAATCGATAGAAATTTATTACGAGCCACGACGCCTATGCGAGAGAGCATAACCGGCCGACGACAATCGAAACTTCGCTCGGATACCAGCGCACCCGGCCGCTTTCATTGCGCAAATTATCGACGCGGCTCATAGGCGTACCCCTGCTGCACCTCGGCAAACCGAGGCGCGGCCGTCGTGCAAACTCTGCGGGAAATGAATTTACAGGCGGCCACTGTCTCGCAGACCCGCCGGAGGGCGATCCTAATCCAATCGGTTCAGAATTCTGTGGCCGCATAGAAGAATGCCCGCGAGTCACGTGTTTTCACTTTCGAGATTCACCGATGGTTCGTATTAGCAGCGTTTCTTGATGTTTCTTTTTCTGGTAAATAGCTATGTACATCCTGTATGTGCTACAATTCCATTAATACGTTAACTTGAATTTTTTTCAAACTGTCGCTTGCGGCGTTTTTGTGCTTACAGCCACGGAATTATCGCCGCGGAAAATTCCTCGCGGTCGAACGAGTCGACGGAACTTCCTGCGACCATGTTGCACGAGAAAGTTTCGTGCACATCGCGGTGGCAGCTATCTTTATCCGCAATTTCATTGTTAACACTCTGACAGGCGTGCTAACAACCTCAAAATCTCCATAAAATTAAGATATTTTATTTAGCATATTAAGATTGAAAAGTTACGTTACACGCGAGAGCAATTACATTTCCAACATGTTTCGCGAAGTCTACCGAAATTAGGAGGATGTAAGAAATCAGCGTGAACATTAATTTTCAACTTCCAGTGAAAGTCAACTTCCAGACGTGGCAGAGTAAAAATGTTAATTTTGTTCTTTTTCAATGCGCGCACCTATACATGTCGCGAGAATCAAGCGACGACGAGTATACTCGTCGAACACAGATTAAGTGTCGCTGTTAAAATGTTGAATCAAAAAGACGGTTTTCTATTATAAAATCAACCATTTTATTACTAATGTTTACTTATTCACTTAACATTAACATATACTACGCATATAATAAACGAAAAATACGGGAAAAATCAGATACGAATAAAAGTAAAAAATTCAAATTATTGCTGTAAAATGGTATTCAGCAAAGCAAGCAATGATACATAATGGCACTTTGCACGTCGAATATTATTTTAATATTATTTTTATAACAATGTAAACATATTCGCGTATGATTGGCTTCAAAACATCTTGAAATTTTAGAATATGTTTTTGTTCTCACCAAAATTACAATTTAAATAGCCAATGGTCACTAATTTTTACGCACGACGAATATACTCGTCGAGACACGAAATAATGCCACATCTCTATGACGAGTAAACTCGTCAAACACAGCTAACTGGTTAAGTAGATTCGAAGTTAGCTCGATATCGTGTCAGACTCGGGACGAAGACTTCGACGAGAAAATCTACTAAATACGTACGATTGCATTCCATTTTTCTGCGAAACGAACGAAGGCAGGCAATAAATATCAATTTTTCTTGTCCTTTAGGAATTCCAATTCCCGAAGCTGTGAAAGGAATCGTACAGCGAGAAGTTATTTATGAATATTCTTCCGCCCACAGCAATTGAAGAGATATATTACCTCGTGCTCATGAATATCGAAGTTCTACTAAATAAACAGGCACCTACAGTGGACGCCTCAGCTTGCACCTTTGCTAGAAAATCATCAACTAACAAAATGGAGGCTGCTTCTGACAGAGATTCGAGAATTTGTCCGCGATCGAGTCATCGTCCGCCGATCACAGCTATCGAAGTCACGACACCCCGAGCTTGATGACCCTAAATCAAGCTAGATCTCCGACGCCCGGTGACCGCCGCGTAGGCTAAATTCTCTGAAGCTTATTTCTGGAGCTGGTGGCCCCCTCGCGGAAGCCTGAATGGAATATCGAGCGGAATGTAGGCCGGATCGGGCGCGCTGGAAACGAAATGCGTCCTCCGGTACGCAGACCCATTTCGCGACGCTGACCTCGTGAATGGGGCACGACGAGCAACACCGCGGAGAAATGCCGATCGAGTGTAGCAGATTAATTATCTAAATTTACCGCGAAGCGAGACGGGGCGAAGCGGACGACCGGCTAGCATCCACGCTCGCGCATGTCAACGATTTATTTTTGAAGCGAGCCGTGCCCCGGAATCATTGTAACAGTGTCCCTAGCGGCTTCACTGTTTTTACAAACGAAATGTAACGTTCCGTCCGAGTTCTCCTTCGAATGCTTTCGCTATTTGGTAATTTTACTACCGATGCAACTATTTAACACTAAATCTACCGAGTATGAAATTGACTTGGATGCGTTGCTTTATTTTTAAAAAGTTAACCCTTAAATGCATATTGTTGCCAATTGTCTACATTCCAGTTCCACTGAATTTTATTCAAAAACCTGAGTATGTGCGTTTCCGAACACACGTTGATAGCAATAGACAGTAGAGCATGTGTGAAATAAAAAACTTGACATTACTTTTCGAGAGTAAGTTATATGCTTTTTGACATTTGAATGTGGTGGTTGATAAGCTTCAATGTGTTACTAGGAGAGATATTTTCTTTTTTCGAGTTTCCTATAAAAGAAAGCTTTGCGACACAACAAAAATCGCAATTGCTTTGCTGCATTTCATTTATAAATAATGTGAAAATTCCTATACTAATAGATAATATAAACACATCACCATTTGTTTACGTCTACAATAATTTTAGTAACAAACGCATATTGTTGCCGAAAGTCTACATACAACTTTTTTTCAAAATAAATACTCAATATTATTACCTAGATTTTTTAATTTATTTCTTACGTAACCTATGACTACGTTCCTATAAAAAACGATTTTTTAAAATTCAAAACAAAAAATCATGCATTCAAGGGTTAATAGTGAATTTAGTTAGACGTAGTGCCAGTTTTGTTGTAATGTCCGACCGAATTCAAGAATTCGTTCCATCGTTTCTTGTAAACTGGTTCTTAGACTATCAACAATCTTAGAAGAAAAGATATGAAACCGGTCATTTAGACCGGTGAGGTAGGTTTAATGTTAAAGAGGAGAAAAGCGATAGGAGTTCGTAGCCAGCGTAATACGAACGCGAACGATGGACCCGTCGAATACAAGTTTCCGTGAATGTCACAGGATCAATCTTGAATAGCAAAGTTCGTAAATGTTACGTTGCATCAACGCAACCGCAGAATTTCCCAAATGAAGTTGAGCTGATGTTCTTATCAGAAACGTAGAACCTGTTGTTTGGTTTACGACGTTGTCTACCTTTTACACGTACATAGTTGGCAAGTCCACGATAGGGACTTATACGCCCACGTGTACTTATACACGATAGGTCAGATTTCATCGTGCCGAATGTGCGTTTAGAAATATTTTGATGTTCTTGTTTTATGGAACGTCAAAAGCAGGTGTTTCATATAATGATTTTAAAGAGAGAATTCGTTGCTCTGAAAAGGTGAAGACGTCTGGGTCTGGTGAATACAGTAATGTCTCTCTAATTGACGCTCAGATTGCCCACAGAAATGGACAATTTGGGAAGAGGAGATACGATTATTCGAGCTTTGCAGCTCGTTTTTATAGTTATAAATTGTCAACAATTATAAAAACGAGCCGCAAGGCTCGGATAATCGTGTCTCCTCTTCCCAAATTGTCCATTTTTATGGACAATCTGGAAGTCAGTAAGGGAGACATTACTGTATTTTGAAATTGTTCCTATCGAATCGTTGCAGAAGAATCGAACTCGAGGAATACAGTAATGTCTCTCTAATTGACGCTCAGAGTGTGAGCAAAAATGGACAATTTGGGAAGAGGAGATACGATTATTCGAGCTTTGCAGCTCGTTTTTATAGTTGTTGACAATCGATAACCATAAAAAACGAGTATACGAGTATACGAACAATCGTATCTTCTCTTCCCAAATTGTCCACTTTTGTGCACAATCTCAGCGTCAGTTAGGGAGACATTACTATAGTGTTACGGATTAGAGTGTCAAGAGTCTGGACGTTCGATTATGGACTATTCTTTGGATCGTTTAGATACACAACGCGTCACAGTTGCCTGCAAGTAAACACTGCGTGATGTTAACGAAAATTCTGTGTGAGAAACGAACGATGCATACGAGTCTACGTTTATTGAACAACTCGTAGATAACCATCTCTAAGTTCAGTTACTAGATCATTTAACTATCGTATAGATATTATGCTACTCAGCCCGTATCACAAGAAAGTCGTGGACAAGTGCACATAATGCTCACTATTCCGCGATTAGTCGACAATTAGTAGATAGTCGACAATCATTACTCGCGAATGCAAATGGGTTAAAAAGCGATAACAACCGAAGTGCCGACACAAGTCGTCAGAAATCGAAAATTTTTTGTACAGAACCATTGCAGGTTCCCGCGAATTCCGCAGAACTCGATGGTCCCCGATAAACGCGGTACAAAATTGAATTTGAAAGTCCGGTTACAGACACGCGTGCCCCGTCATAGACGTAACGTTTGAGAGCGAGAGAGCCTCAGGTAGCATTCGGTCGTTTTGGTCTCGTTCGGGTTCGAATGGCTTTAGGTGGCATAACTGTTCATCCATCTGGTCGATGCTATAAATGCACCGGGCGGTGCACGTTGTCCCACCTTTCTCCTCGGGGCTTCGCGACGCGACGCCGCGCTGGAAGGAGCGAGACTGGTCCCTCCCCCGCGGTCCTTCCCGGTCTCGCCCCCCTTTGTTCCCCCGACCCGGTTCCCCACTCGAGGCCAATTAATTCGTTATTACCGCATTGCTGGCCCGTAAGTCACGGAGGGTAATTACCGGCCGGTAATTTCACCGCTGCTCAGTTACGCTTCGGATAATGGACGCGCCGTGCAGCAGCCTCTCTCGGTTAACAGTTCCAGGCACGATCCGAGGAACGATACGGTCTCGCCGATCGACCATTGATTCCTCGCCTCTCGCTTTCTTTGTCTCGCGACCTCGATCTTCGAGGCGGACTCGCGGAGCATGAAGCCTCGTCATGTTTTCACGGGTAAACGTCGGTGTCGGTGTCTCTCGGCATCGACGCGCGCGCGCGCACATGATCGAAAACCAAAAGAGTTTTCTTCCGGGGACAGAACTTTTGTTGCACGGTTAATCGAACGCCTGAAAACTCCGCGTCGCCGCGGCTAATGGACGCGGATAATTATGGAGGAAACCCGATATCTTGATTAGAGGGACACCGGCGGTACGCTGCGCGGTTAATTGAGCAGCGACAGGATTCATCGATCAATCCGCTCGATCCCGACAGGCGTCAACAAACGTGGGAACGCCGGCAGACGCCGAAATGTGTCAGCGCCGCCGCCACTTTCAAGATGGAACATTTTAATCTAATGGAAGTGCGCGGCCTGCGAATTAGCTCGCAGTATTACCAGAACAGGCCATCTTTCCTCTTTACACCGGTTAGCTGTTGCAATCTCTTTGAAAAGTGTTTGCGAATTACTGTAATTATATTGCGTGTATACGTTTGACTTTCTTCGCATTTTCTTTAAATACGCCACCTTTATAAAATCTATAATTTAATAAAGAATATCGAAGCATATATTCTTCTAAACCAGTTAGCGCTTCTTCGCGAGTATACTCGTCGTGAAGAAACGGCAATTTTTTCTGTTAAGACGAGTATACTCGACGAAAACAGCTGACTGGTCAGTTCGTTCTTATCGCGTTCTACCGTTTCTTCCTGATTTTTCCAAGTTTCTTTCCTAATCAAATTTGTAGACAACGCCCCCAGAAATCTTAAAAAGTTCGATCGAGGATCGAGAGCGCGAAATTTTGATATACAGTCGCGTGGCCAAACGGGAGACAGATCGGCCCGCCATCGGGCGATCCCAATTCGAGATCTCCGCGCGTTTGTACATTGTATTTTAACACGACAGGCCCGTTGTTAAGTGAACTTATCGGGCATCGGTCCCCGACTCGTCGAACCGGCTCGATCCGATCGACGATCCACGGAGCAGATAACGCGCGGCGTCCGGAACGCTGGCGCCTTATCATCTTTGCATAGTGGACCATCCGGCCCGAGAGCAGGAGCAGAACTTTTATCCTCTGTTTTGCCGGTAACCAGCGCGCGTCCTGCCCGCGATAATAAAGCTTACCTCCACGTGTGCGGCGAGAATCCTGAACACGTCTCCCCGCACTGCAAACACGGCTGGCCCTCCTCGACGTCCGTGATCAGGACACCCTGCGAAACGAAGAAAACCGCGTTTTAGACTCGTCGGCCTGAACCGCCCCGCGGCAAACCATGCTGCGCAATCTTTGTTAAAAATGATCGCGACCTCTGCGATTAGGTCATGATAATTACGACACGGTGAAAGGTCTGGATCATCACAAATGTCAGTCGATGAAGGATCCCCGGGATCCCTCCACAGAGACACGCTTGCCGACTTCTACGATCCGGGGGAGAGGACTGGAGGAAACTTTTAACGATTCTAATAGGTATACACCTTTCTCTTGTCGTTGCGGTTCTTCGCCGCTTCTCTTCTTTCGAGAGGCAGACTGTAAAAGGCAACAAATGGAAACAAAAACTGGATCTACTCTGACGATGATCGCAATAGATCACTGGTAATAGTACTGGGGTGAACAGCGTCAGGAACATTATCGAGCCAGTTCTCTTCTTTCGAAAGACAGGCGAATAGAAGCCAGCGAATGGAAACAAAGAACTGGATGTACAATACTTCGCCGATGGTTGCAATATATCAACTTCAACAGGTGTTCGGACCATTATCAAAGTGCCTCCAGCAGAGCGCTACAGATGCATTGACAGCGTTCAGATTTTAATCAGTTATGACGAAATGAAGCAGTTGCAATTTATAATGGTAGAAAGATTAAAAGAGCTTGAATACGTCAACGTATCGTATTGCATTTAGGCTGCGGAACTTTATGCAAATTTAAAATTGTCAGCGTCAATTGCAAGACGCAGGAGCCGCGTGCGATCTTGTTTCTTAAATAATTTTAACGAGTTGTAATTGGCATATCATGTTTAATAGCTCGAAATTTGTTCACTATTCTACGTTTCACGTGTTCATTTCAAATGCATAAAATCCGCGGTCTAATTATATTGAATCTATTAGATGTTAGAAGAGAGGATGAACTTGCTACAGCAATGTCTCCCTTACTGACGCTCATATTGTGCACAAGAATGGACAATTTGGGAAGAGGAGATACGATTATTCGAGCGTCGCAACTCGTTTTTATAGTTGTTGACAATCGATAACCATAAAAAACGAGCCACAAGGCTCGAACAATCGTATCTCCTTTTCCAAAATCGTTCATTTTTGTGGAAAATCTGAGCGTCAATTAGGGAGACATTACTGTATTTAGTTTCTATTTCTGGCAATCGATGCGAACAATTTTTATTTCGTGGCTCCAAGATAGCATTACGTTTGCTTCCACTCTTGCTGCCGACCAGATTCCCTCGATAATCCCGTTCCACAACGATTTATAAAAATGAGAATTCAAGCTTCACGGTCTGGTAGCTTAAACCAGAGTCGGAGGGAGAGAGAGTGCGCGAGGAGGGCGGTGCGGAGTAAAATTGAATCATCCTCTGGCGGCGTTCGTAATTACGTGCGAAGCGGGACAAGGTCGAAGCCCGAGTCCGGTAATTAGGAAAAGTTTTTAATTGTTCGGTTGCCGGNGCCTTATCATCTTTGCATAGTGGACCATCCGGCCCGAGAGCAGGAGCAGAACTTTTATCCTCTGTTTTGCCGGTAACCAGCGCGCGTCCTGCCCGCGATAATAAAGCTTACCTCCACGTGTGCGGCGAGAATCCTGAACACGTCTCCCCGCACTGCAAACACGGCTGGCCCTCCTCGACGTCCGTGATCAGGACACCCTGCGAAACGAAGAAAACCGCGTTTTAGACTCGTCGGCCTGAACCGCCCCGCGGCAAACCATGCTGCGCAATCTTTGTTAAAAATGATCGCGACCTCTGCGATTAGGTCATGATAATTACGACACGGTGAAAGGTCTGGATCATCACAAATGTCAGTCGATGAAGGATCCCCGGGATCCCTCCACAGAGACACGCTTGCCGACTTCTACGATCCGGGGGAGAGGACTGGAGGAAACTTTTAACGATTCTAATAGGTATACACCTTTCTCTTGTCGTTGCGGTTCTTCGCCGCTTCTCTTCTTTCGAGAGGCAGACTGTAAAAGGCAACAAATGGAAACAAAAACTGGATCTACTCTGACGATGATCGCAATAGATCACTGGTAATAGTACTGGGGTGAACAGCGTCAGGAACATTATCGAGCCAGTTCTCTTCTTTCGAAAGACAGGCGAATAGAAGCCAGCGAATGGAAACAAAGAACTGGATGTACAATACTTCGCCGATGGTTGCAATATATCAACTTCAACAGGTGTTCGGACCATTATCAAAGTGCCTCCAGCAGAGCGCTACAGATGCATTGACAGCGTTCAGATTTTAATCAGTTATGACGAAATGAAGCAGTTGCAATTTATAATGGTAGAAAGATTAAAAGAGCTTGAATACGTCAACGTATCGTATTGCATTTAGGCTGCGGAACTTTATGCAAATTTAAAATTGTCAGCGTCAATTGCAAGACGCAGGAGCCGCGTGCGATCTTGTTTCTTAAATAATTTTAACGAGTTGTAATTGGCATATCATGTTTAATAGCTCGAAATTTGTTCACTATTCTACGTTTCACGTGTTCATTTCAAATGCATAAAATCCGCGGTCTAATTATATTGAATCTATTAGATGTTAGAAGAGAGGATGAACTTGCTACAGCAATGTCTCCCTTACTGACGCTCATATTGTGCACAAGAATGGACAATTTGGGAAGAGGAGATACGATTATTCGAGCGTCGCAACTCGTTTTTATAGTTGTTGACAATCGATAACCATAAAAAACGAGCCACAAGGCTCGAACAATCGTATCTCCTTTTCCAAAATCGTTCATTTTTGTGGAAAATCTGAGCGTCAATTAGGGAGACATTACTGTATTTAGTTTCTATTTCTGGCAATCGATGCGAACAATTTTTATTTCGTGGCTCCAAGATAGCATTACGTTTGCTTCCACTCTTGCTGCCGACCAGATTCCCTCGATAATCCCGTTCCACAACGATTTATAAAAATGAGAATTCAAGCTTCACGGTCTGGTAGCTTAAACCAGAGTCGGAGGGAGAGAGAGTGCGCGAGGAGGGCGGTGCGGAGTAAAATTGAATCATCCTCTGGCGGCGTTCGTAATTACGTGCGAAGCGGGACAAGGTCGAAGCCCGAGTCCGGTAATTAGGAAAAGTTTTTAATTGTTCGGTTGCCGGGAGCGTCTCGCGACGTTCGACGATCGCGACCGTTTTTCGACGCGTTGATGCCGTTTTCGAAAGCCATGCTCCGCGATGGGAAGCAGATCGTAACGATGACGTCGAGAGATCGATCGTCGAGTAGTTTTCGAGGACTTTAGCGAAGCATTTATCGAGAGATAAAGGGAAGCGGCTCCGATGGAAACGGCCGAAGCGCGTTGGATGCGTTCAAGAACCTTCCGGCCGGCATATATGGTCGGTCCGCCCACGTGTGGCTGCTCGGCGGCAGCCGCATCGCCAAATATCGAGTAGACGAGAGGCACACGCGATGGAAAATATGTGAGCCGACGTGTCTCTAGCTGTCTATATATAGTAATCCTGAATAATGATCTCCGAGGCGAGCGCCGCTCTTGGTCCCCTCCGTCTAATTAACATATTTTTCGTCCTGACTCACGAGTGAAAGGACCGGGTACCCCCGTTTTTCTCCGGCACGGCCAGCTGGAGATCACCGGGACACCTCCTCGCGTATCATTCCGTGTGAATTATTCATTTGTCTCGTCGGTTTCGGACGGGTCGCGCCTTTGAACGATCCCGGAGATTAAAACGATGCTACCAAGAGGGAACTGTACCGGCCTCGGTCCGCAAGCTGAACCGTTTCTCCACTTTTTCCGGACGATATCCCCGACACCGAGATAGACATTTAAAGGCAACTGACCGCTTGCCCCACATTTATTAATATTTAACCTGTTAACCGGGTATGACGAAATATTTCGTCGAAAGGTAGAATCAAAGCTGTGCTTCTCGCAACTAAAAAAGCAAAATATGGAAAAACGGAGAACCAAAATAAAAGAAGTATTATAACTAGAGATAGGCCGAAATCTGATTTTATAAGGCCGCGAAACTCTAAAAACTCGAAACTTTCAAAAACCCAGAATGCTTATCCTTTTCCTTTTTTTTCTGAGTATCTACATGTTTTGTCAGGATGCAATATCTTGACACATTTTTTCCAGAATTATTTATTCAATATAGTTACGATGAAAATTAAATGTAGTCATAATTTAATTTTTTTTATATAAGCGATTGTGATGGATTAATGAAATCGTACCAATTCAAATGTGTTTAAAGTTTAAACACAAGCTCAATTGGATTGTTATTAGTTAAAAATAAATTCAGATCGTCACCATATTCTCGTTACTCGTTTAAGCAAATTATCATCTATCTGGATTTCGAGAGTTTCGAGTCAAAACAACGCGGTCTCGAGAACTCGAAACTTTTTCAGTTACGATGACTTTCGAGGCTCCGAGATTTCGAATGTGCCGTAGAATGATAGAGAAACAGAGCTTCTCGCGGTTGCAAAGCGCGAGACCGTTCCCGTTAAGCATTCATCGCAATTTCTCGATCCGTTCACATTTTAATTTCGATCGAAATCGCCGGGATTTGTTGTTCTCCTCGTTCCCGGGACGAGAATACGCGTGACGCGGCCGCACGCATGCGAACGGAGGCAAACGGTTGCGTCACTTCTCCGCGGCCAACGCGGCTAAGCCGACGAAATCGAGTTCCCGATTCCCTGATCGTCGATTCAACTAGAGTCCCGCGGAGTCACGGTCGAAACATCGACGGTGACGGTCCCATCGGCGCTCGCGTCATCGATTGCAACGGTAGACCGTCGACCATCCCGCTCCCGGACAAAGGCTGCGGACTTTTTTCCTCCGCGAGGAGAGATGTGATCCGCGGGCTGCGTGCGTGTCCTACACGCGGCGCGACCATTCCGTTTGTGGGCGGTTCGCTGACATTTCCATGACGCGTTGCCCAATAGACCGTGGAATTACGTAAGGACATTGAAAACTTGCGTCGCGGGCTACCCTAGTCTAACGGCTTGACAAAAAAAAGATCGCGTCTCCTTTCTCCGTTTTCTTGAAATGTACACTAGCGAGGACGTGTTTCCAAAATGGCGTTCTCAGACTCCCAAGATTGATGAACGTGCGGCCATTGGAGAATGAATTTCTTGAGCGTGACAGGGCCCTTTGTTGTTGGAATTAATTGCCACGACGATGACGCATGGACGATTGAATTGAAACTCGGTGTTTAGCTTTGATGCACTTGATAGAATAATAATAACCGAGCGCAGATAATCTCGTGTGCGAATTTGAGAAGCCGTAAATGATTGGAAACGACAGAGTTGCTTAGAATATATGGTCACATTCTTTGTTAATTGCGTGGTGTATATTGCTGTATTATAGCGACCGATACAACGATTCTACCGAATAAGAAACTTTCCTTTCTTGTTCCCGACGAACGGACTACGGTTGCTCGACCATTTAAGCATTCTTTTTCATAGATGTGTTCGATCGATTACAGTAAGCGCGATTTCGATCCGTTCTCCAACAAAAATATAGAAACCTTCTTGGAACGTGACTAAGATGCGTAGACAGAAGTCCCATACTAAAAAAAAAAGGTTATAGTTCTCCGACAGAAAGTCAGCCTACGGTATCGCATTCTGGATCAGAGTGTATCCCGAATCGAGCTGAATCAATCACAGATCATCGATCGTTTCTTGCAAAGGACATTTCCCTCGACAGAACGAATCGGCTGTAATTACATCGGAGTATTAATTGCCAATAGAGACGGCGATCGAGAGGCGCAAGATTGCAAACGGCAGGGGAACGCGCGCGAGAAAGTCAACGTTCGCTGTCGGCTAGAAAAAGAGGTTCGACGGCCAGGTACCGACCGTGTCGATTAAAGGATTAGCGAGACCGTTGACAACCGGGCTACCGGACGGTTCACTTTCACCCCGTTCGATCTAGCCGGCTCTCGACGATTATTTCGGCGAGCTATCAATCGGAACGCGTAGAACGCGCGCGGCCCGCGAGCGGAAACAGAAAACACGGAGTCAGAACTCGCGACGCGCGCAACCAGTCGCATGGGGTTGGATTGGAATGAAAAAAATTTCACTCGTCTACTATGAATTTAATCAAAACTTTCTACATTGGCTCGCTCATATATGCGCTCGTTTGGCTGATAATCCTACAGAGATAAACGAGTAATTACGTTCATGATTACTTTCACTTGTTTCATACATGTTCGGTCGGTTTCATCGTGGCCGGACAGGCGAGTATCGCGCGGATGCGAGCCGCGTGATGCAACTCGCGGAAACCGACGGCGTTAGGCACCACCGCCGTGCTTATGGCTGTCGAGAAAACGGAATCGCTGTACAAAAACGCGGCAACCGTCTCGCGATCCGATCGACGTGTCCAAAGGATTGCATATGTTTGCGTTCGGACTGTATACTTTTGTTTCGTAGTCGCATGCCTGGAGAGCGTTCCCTCAAAAGTCTCGTTCAAAAATTCGCATAAACGACGACGAAATAGCCTGGATATACGCAGCGGTTCCAAGCTGTCCCCGTTTATCTCGAAACGGTACTTTTTCACGTCGGTACTAGAAATGTCTCGAAGACTGGCAATTCGATTTGCTAAAAATTTTACAGAGATTTTCGCGGTACCGTTAACCTAGTATGTGTTAGTTACTGCGTTAAATTCATTTATGCACGGATCTTCGGTTTCAAAGCCATCGATGTTCGTCGGATCGACGACGGCAAGGATCTTTGCTCGAACGAGCAGACGATTTCTCATCAAATATTTACTCCGCGCCTCTGCGAACGATCAAAGACATTTCTAGTATCACTTGTAGTACGATATTTCGAGGGGACACTCTCGGAAGGCCACTCTACGAAACGCGTGTCCCTTTTCGCACAGAGAACCAGCGAAACATATGTAACCCCATGAGAAAAACCGTTCACAGAGATCCACCAACACACTCCGCGCACGTAAGCTTGTTCCATCGAGTGGCAGCGGTAGCACCAGGGCAGCAAGCACCAAGTAGCAGCATGTGGTCGGCGGTGAAAATCAGAGAGAAAGAAAATCCGGAATCGAACAACGATAAAATCCCTCTCCCTCCATCCCTCTCCCTCTCATCTCCTCCATCGATTAATGAATATCGCTTCTCGCTTCTGAACCATAAACGACTGATCGAACGCGATTGACTCATGAAAATGCCATACCCCTTCGCGATAGTTCCAGATTCTTCGGGACGGTGTCATAACGCCTCGTCCCGACGGGAAACCGGGCTCCCTGGGCCTCTGTCGACGACGGTCCTCGTCGTCCTCCTCCTCGGCCTCGTCCCCGCTGTCCTCTTCGTCCTCGTAACGCCTCCGCCTGCCCACGTGCAGCTCCTGCGCCGGTCGCCGGCGACGTCTCCTCTCGACGGTGCTCTCAGGACTAGAGCGGATCCTGATGATCGTGGCACCGTTCCTCTCGCGGTGAGACGGGTATCTGCCGTCTAGATCCTTTGGCTGATCCGCGTCTCCCACACCGTAAACGTTCGCGTGCTCTTTGCGCTGCTTCTCCTCGTGCTCGTTCGGTCTCCTCTCCCTGATCTCGAGAAGGGACCCCATTTCCGGGGACGGATCTCGCTCGATCTCCGAATGTCCTTCGGGATTCGACCGGTACCTGCTGTTCTCGCGGAGGTACGCGGCAGCGAACACCCTGTTGCTCTCGTGCCAGGAGTTCGCGTCGAAGTCCTCGCGGTCCTTGCAGTTCTCCCGCAACTCGTCTCTCCTAGGCGGACTCAGGGGTCTGGAGTGTCTGTCCGACTTCCTGTCGAAGGAGTCGTGGCTCTTGCTCCTGAGGGAAACTCTCCTCTTCGTCGAGGCGTCGCGATCCTTCGAGGAACTCCTTCTTTCCTGATCCAGGACCTCCTCGCTCGGAATCTCGCCTTCGGTTTGATAGGAAGCTGGCCCGAACTCGACGTAACGGCCGTTCGGAGATGTCCTCCGTCTGGAGTCGTCCAAGCTGCGGAAGCACACCTTGCCAGGCTCGCCGCCTTCGTTCTTGTAGACGTTCCTTTGGCCCGGACCCACGTCCTCGTCGTGATCTTTGTACGAGATCCCCGCGAACTCCACGGTCTTCTCTTTGAAGGAGTTCTTGCGACCTACGTCACTGGAACGATGCTTGAAACTGATCTTGCCCGCTTCCGCCTCCTGCTCCTTGTACGAGTGAATCCTCGGCGGCCCCTCGTCCTGCTCCTTGAACGTTATCCTGCTCACGCCGTGTCCTTTCGCGGCTTTTCTCTCCTCCTCGTTGCCGCAGGTCCTCGCGGAGATCCTCCCGTAATCCGAGCTTTGCTCCTTGAACGAGTTCTTCCGTCCGGCGTCGAACCCTTGCTCCTTGAACGAGCCTCTTCGGGACACGTGTTCCTGATCCTTCCGGAAGCTCTTCTCGGTGTCCTTGAACGAGTTCTTCCGATGAACGTCGGTCTCCTGACCTTTTAAGGACGGCTTCCTGCCGAGGCTCGACTCTCGACTTTTCTTCGCGTCCCCGGTCTTGAAGGAACTTTTCCTCGTCACCTGACGGTCGTGCTCTTTGAACGACTCTTTTCTGCCTAGATCGCCGGCGGCGTCCTTCGCGGAAGCTCTTCTGGACGAGTCTAGGTCCCTCCTAGGCTCCAGAAGCGCTCGCTCGTATCTTTGTATCCGAACGTCGAAGTCTTCAGGGTTTCCCTCGTAAGCGTAGCTCCTTCTTTTGGGGCTGTCCTTTCTGCGGGACGGATCGTCCTCCAGCTCTCTGGATCGTCTACGACTCTTATCTAAACCGTGCACGTCACACTTCTGCCGAAAACTATCGTTTCTCCGCGAATCCTCGGTCTTCTCTCCAATCGACTCGTTCGATTTGTCGAGCCTCCGATCGACGGACCGATTTCTGCTCTCTTCGAGCTCGTTTCTGTCGCCGTCCCGGATCCTAGATCTCGCTGTACGTCGATCCTCCCGCCTGTCCTCCTTCTGGTTCCCAAACTCTCTGTCGCAATCCTCGCGATCCGCTCGGTTGTCGCCTCGACTCGCGCTCTTCGACCTGTACTCTTCGTTTTCAGGGCTGAGAGAGTCTCGGTCCCTCTTCGACTTCATCTTCTCTTCTTCCCGGGACTTGAACCGCTCGATCATCGCTCTGATCCGACGATCGGGCGATCGCCCGTCCACGGCCAGGCTCTCGATCTCCCTCAGAAGCAGATCCCTCTCGTCGATCGCCTGGGGATCGTTTTTCCGTTGCGTTCTCGAGGACGACTTCGCGTCGGACCCCTCCCAGGTGTCCTTTCTTCTGGATCTGTGAGACTGATCGCGATCGACGGACCCGGTCCTACCTCGATCGTCACGGTGCTCGTGCTTGGCGAAATCGTTCCTGGATCGCCCGTTCGTCAGCCGCGACTCCTCGAACCGATCCGGCTGCTTCTTGGAGCCGAGCCTGTCGTCCTGGACGACGTCCTTGATGTCCCAGGCGCCGAAGTGCTCCCTGCTCTTTTTGTAGAGCTGGTCCGGGTCGTCGGCCAGTCGGTCTCTATGATCGCGGCCATTTTTCGTCTCTTCGTTCTGCCTGGTCATGCCGAAGTGGTATCGATTCGTCCCGTTCTTGTACGATTTCAGGCCCTGATCCTCGCGGAAGTGGTCCCTCCGGGTGGGGTACGCCGCCACGTCGGCGCCCTCCTTGATCGCCGAGGATCCGCGAAGCCTGGACGACATTGCCGCTGGTTCTCCGCGGTGCTGGTTCTCTCCGGCTCTCTGTAACTGTCCGCCGTCACGCTGGAAACTGTTCAAGGCTCCGTGACGGTTCTCCGGGCGACGCGAAGCGAGGCGAGGCAATGCGAGGCGAGGCGGTGATCTCGATCACAGAAGTCCGCACGGTTCTCGATCACCACATGTCCACGGCGCGGGGATCGTCCGGATCCAGGAATCTATCGTCGAGTCCTCGCGAGCGACATCGATCGGTCGTGGAACTGGTCGCGCGTTTCGAGACGACGACGGGCGAGGAGCTCGGCTCGGCTCGGTCTCATCGATCCGACGACGATCGAGACTGGGATCGCGGCGCAGGATGTGTGGATTCTCGGCGCGGATTCGCGACGTACGAGGATCTCTTTCGGTCTCTGGCTCCTTTTTCGCGAAACGAAGCCAAGCCGGCTCTCTTCGGCGGAACGAGCGGAGCAGACGACCCTGAAAGTCGTCTGTGGACTTTCACGAACGCGAGCACTTTGCCGGTCGGAGTCACCACGAGAGTGTGCACCGGAGGAGAGCGTGTTCCTCCTCTCCCTCTCCCCTCGGCACTCGGCTCGCCCGGCTCCCTTCCTCGATTCCTTCTTCCACCAAGCCGTCCGTGCGCCCGTCCCCCGCCTTCCACCTCCCCCTTTCTCCTCCTACCTCCTCCGGTGCCCCCCTTTCGTCCTCGCGTCCTCTCATCCTCTCGTCCTCTTCTTCGAGCACAGCCGCCTCCTTCTTCCTCGCTGTCCTCTGTCTCCTGCGGTCTCCGGTCGGTCCTCCTCGAGGTGAGGCGGACCACTCGATTCTCCCGTTAATCCGGCTCCTCCGCGGCCTCCTCCCGATATCAACCGCGACACCGCCACGTGAGCTCTCGGGCCCAGGCTCGAGTTCACCGGGATTCTGGGACTCCCGCACAAACGATGCCGGAAAATCCTCCTCTTCGTCCCTTTTAGAACCATCGCAATTTAACATCTATCTCTTGAACGCCGATGTACTACGTTCGATCTTATTTTTGCTCATAAAGTTACGAACGGACTAACAACCGTCCCCGAGATTCTAAATAAGCTTAGACACCGCTCCATTCGACACCGTCATCTCCTGAGAGATGAAACCCACCGCACCCTTTATGGTCGATGTAATTGTATTAACAGAATTATCAGAATTGTAAGCTCTTGTGGTAACAACATACAATTTTTTCTGCGATTCTCAAATCTTCCGACGCAATTTACGCTGTGCTCTCTCTAACTAAGTCGTATTTTCTTGTCTAAGGGTTATTTAGACCGTTTAATTAATAAATGATAATAATAATAACAGTTTTTCCGAACTGTGTGCCAAAATTCTTTGATTTTAAGGATACCGGAAGGAGAGGGGAAATTTCTTCGGCGAAATCTCAGTTAGCGTTCGTCGCTCATTAGTCTGCCTCGTTGGTCATTAGCACTCGTCGTCTATTCGCTCGGCAAGACTTGCTGTGTTAATTAGAACACCTGCAGTTGGTTACGGTGTCGATCTATACACTTTTCACAGTCGATGTGTCAATCGGGGCACTTGCAGTTAGACACAGCGTCGATGGAGACGCTTCTTACAGTTCTTATGGATTGTGTGTCAATCTAGACACTTTTTCCAATCAGCACGTCGATCTGGATCCTTTCTCCGATCAATGTGTCGGACAGGGCACTGCGATCCAAAAACAGAAACTAAAAAAGATTCCGCAGTTCTTCAGCAAACTTTTCATGGGTCTACGTAGAACGAGCAGTTAGGATCATTCTTTCGTTAAAATTCAAGAGAAGTTCACGTTTTTTTACTGAAAATTTCAGCCAAGTGAAACTCTCAGCAGGCGATACTATTTCTAAGTTTTGTTCTCAGCAATGGTTCCTTCTCACCTTGAATATGGCCCTCAAATATGGAACCCGCCTAAGCAATGCTACTTTGATATGCTAGAAACAGTAGAGCATAAACTTCTGAGATATGTATCCTTCAAAGTAATTGAACCCGTGTCTCTTCTCAAACAGAATTACGATCCTATTCTTAGCTTACTAAGGTCTACACTCAAAGAAGAGTGTTTGCGGATTTACTCTTTATATTCAATACCATGAACAGCATAACTGATTGCTCGACCATATTAGGACTCTTTAAGCTGAGAGTGCAATCTAAGTCACTGTGTAACATAGTACTATTTCATATTGATAGAAGCAGAAACTCGCTAGAGTTCAAAAGCATCACTTAGCTGTAACTAAAAATGCCTAGAATTGCGACAATAGCTAAGCGGCCAGTTAGATCATTCTAATATTGCAGAAAATGGACAATAGAGTTAGACTATTGCGACCTACATAATTCACACAAGCTTGCAACCAATATGGGCATCCATTATATCATTTTATGTTTAAGTTCACTTAGTTTATAAGTTCTTATAGTATCTACAGATATGTTTCATATATTTTTTGTATTTGTTTATAGATACATATTTTGTATTAATTGTGTACAACGGGATTAAATAATTAAAGTGAACTAAATAGAATTAAATTAAATTAAATAGAACTAAATTAAAAAATTAAATTAAAAATTAAATAGAATTAAATTAAAAATTAAATTAAATTAAATAGAAAAGGCTTTATAAAGCTTAATAAAGAATAATAATAATAATGAAAGGATCGAATCGTGCCTAGATCGGAGCTTTCCAGTCTCCAGTAAGAGTCCAAGGCGTGGTCGCAGACTCGTCGCTCGTCCATCTGATCTTTTTTCTCGCAAGTGTCGCCGGATCACCGGTTTCCTCCGGTCGCTTATCGACAAGGTGTAATCGCGTAATTATCGCTCGCGCGATCGGAAGCCGCAAATTATCCCGAAACTGCGCTGGAAATTGATACAGTGTCCCGTACGCGGAGGCTGTCTAATTACAGTGATCTCGGACGAGGCGGTTCGGCCGCTTCTAATCGGATATCGTTTTCTATTACGGAGAGCGCTGGTTAGGAACGCTTTCCACCGTTTTCTCGTCCCACGTATCTCGACCGAGGGCCTTGGGAAAAATCGCGGAACATCATCGCAGCTGTCGAGAGCCATCCTAACGAGTCCTCGGCGAGTTCTTAACGACTCCTGAAGAACGGGAGAGCGGTTAGCCAGTTCGATCGACGTTTAATATCTATCCGGAGGAGAGCCGACGTCGCCTATCGAGTCGGCAGAATGCTCCTAGAGAGCCTTAAACAGCTCTCGAGGCTCCTCCCATCTTATCTCGGCCCGATAATACACGAAATTCCGCGTTCCCGAACACAAAACGCTGTCCCATAATGGAGCCTCGAAATCTCGCGGAGCGGAAGAAGCGACCCGCGAAACTGGTTGCGCCTTGACTCATCGCTCGGCTCTCAGAAAAATCAACCAGGAGGAAAACGAACGAGAAAAATCGCCGGTCCTTACTCGGAAATCCCGTCAAGATGTCTTTCTGCTGACTCGATCCGGGCGAACGAACCCGGATGATTCACGTCGCGAAATAAAGCGGAGAACAACGCCGAAAGCCTGGTTCTTTTCTGCGTCAATCGACGAGTCTATCCATTGCACAATTAAGAAGCTAAGAGGATAAAGATAGCTGTTAAAGACACTGAAAAGACCAAATCGACAGCAGATTGTGCTAACATCAGAACATGTATCGGATTCTGAAGGTATCGGAATGAATTCTCAATTACTCGCATCATCACTTTTGCCAATAATTGACCTATTCGGTGTTTTATGTATTTCACAGATCTATTCGAAGAGCACTATAACTTACGCACTTGTTCAATTAATCTACGTAAACTAACAGCGTTTACAAATAAATTTAAATCTGAATTTAAATTGACCATCGAGCGGCATCCTCGGGAAATGAAACAAACCTGAAAAATTGAAAACGCACGACGCAGAGTACGCGGATCGCGGAGCTCGCGTACGACGGATGATCCCGAAAGGATGCAGCGTCGCGCCGGGTCGCGAAAACGCGCGATAAAATCGTCCGTGCGCGTCTAATCGTTTCTGAGAGCCGCGGGTGTGGAGAGAGAGCCCCGCTCGTTCATCGGGGCTCCGAGAAAAGCGACCCTGAGAGGCCCGTGGCCCCTGGAGCGAGGAATACGTCGATGCCTGCTTAATGAGACAGGATAATTCCATTTAAACGGAGCGAGGCTCTCGTTAGGGCCGAGACAATAAGGCCGGCGCGCGGCTCGGGCAATAAGGTCCGCGAGGGGTGAAATATTGCGCCGTGTCCTCCGCCGCGCCGGATCGGCGATCGACGATCGTTGCGCACCTATGGCACAATTTACAGCGGGACCGCGATTTATCGCGCGTGGGCGCCCCGGCTCTCGTTGTAAATCGGACGCAGACGGATAATTTTCGACCGGGTTTCAGCGGGCGTGCCCCGGCTTCAAAAGGTGTGCTCCCCCCGACCGATATATCGCCGGTTAATCGCCGCAGCGTCCCCTAAGTGGGCTTTCACTGTTGCGCCACGGCGAACAATCGCCCGTGGCCCCGTACTCGCTCGCGTTTCTCGTTCGCGATATGAATTACGACAATGACACGCTGATATCTTGATCGATCTCGCCGATCCGAACGGCTGCCGTGTCGCGTGCCCTCGAGGACCTTGGAAATCCGCCTTAAGATACTGCCCTCCTTAGTTCAATTGTCTTATCTTACCGAGTTCCGGATATTTGAAAATATTTGGAACGTCGCGTGCCTTGCACCTTTTATGCGAGAGAGAGAGAGAGAGAGAGAGAGAGAGAGAGAGAGAAGCTAGAATACCGTATTATACTTCATACAATTTCAAACGTAATTCCGTTTATTTGATTTCGCTTAAGAATCATTTTATTAATTTCAAGCTTCAGTTTTTGGATGATCAGAAATGTTAGGACAATTTAACTAAGGACAACGGGATACTCACCCGTTTATTTTTCCTCGCAGCACTTTTCGCGACCATTTTTAACTGCATTAAATTCTTTGAATTGGAGTGAGCAGATTTATTCTGATCCGGGTACGACTTACGGAGGTTCTTGGTATATCGATTTTTCTTCGATCCAGCACAACTCCGCCAATTTTGCATTTCACATCGAGATTGCAACAAAATGTGTTTTCTGTATCTTCCAAAGAGTCCTCTCAGTCTTCAAGATCTGTCTCCAGACCAGCGAAATATGCGTCCATCCTTATGTAAATGGTAAAGGAATGTCTCCTAAGAGCATAACGCGTTTTCCGAGCCCAGAAATCTTGAGAATGTTGCTTAGAGTCATGTCAATAAATTTCACATGCTCTGCGAATCAACGTGAATACTGAAGTATTCGCTACAAACACTAATTATTGCCAAGCGTTTGATACTTTCTCTCTGTATCTATCTGCGAACGACGCTTATTAAAAAAAAAAAAAATCAAATTCAGTTAGATCAAAATTAAGGTAAAGCTCTCAATTTTACGTTGCATCGAACCGGGAACCCTTCAAATGCACTTCTGCGCGCGCATCGCGGGATTTAGAGACCCAGAAATTCTGAAAGGATGTTCAGAAGATCGCCGTACGCTCGTTACGCAGGAGCGCAACACCTGTGCTAGGCGGCATCGAAGACGTAGCTTCGAACACGCTCCGAAGCC